CACAAAGTACCGTTCATATCTTATACTCTATCGACCCTTAAGAATCTAACAATTTTTGATTAAAAATTCTCGTTACCAAGAAATCAGTTATTAATAAATTATTGGAAAACCTTTTTTGGCAAATGGAAAGAGACAATATCTATCAAAAAAATCAAAATTTATTTACAAATTATATGTTTGGTGTATCATATTACTTGGATTATAATTAAAAATAAAATGTCTTTAAGAACCAATCAAACAGAGTTATTCAGGTAAGAGCTGATTAAAAGTATTGAATAAAAGATTGGTCGAGTAACTAGTTGAAAATGCGAATATAGATGATATGAAATACGCTGGAATTGTACATTATTCTTCCATTTGATCTCGCAATAATGTTTCATATTCTGAAAGCACCCGTTGAAATGAACGATTTAAGGCTTATTAAATAAGAAAATGTTTTCCACATTAATAAGAATTCTAATGCCAAAACTAACAAATAGCTAAGATTTAAAATAAAATAATTACCTAGTATGGGAAGAATCTCGCGTAAAAGCTTGTGATTTGATGTTCTCTATGAAAAAGGAATCGAGAGCAAATTAGTTTATAGAACTATCTAAATGGTATAAAATCTAATGAACTTGCCTTAATTGATGGTTCAGATGAGGATAAGTCACCCTCTCTATTAATCAAAAAAAATCATGAGAATTTAACGAAACATAATGAAAGATTGAAATGATATGAAGTCATTTCTTACTTTATGTCAGAAACCCACAATTCTTCGCATAGTTCTTTTGCTTTTGAAATAGAACCGGTATCGGCCAATTGTTGTGCATACAGAGCTAAATTACGTCGAAAATCTCTCCGTGAATTTAATATCTCTGCGGATATTAATTCATTCTCTATTTGTCCAAATGATTGTGACGCCTCGTGTAGAGCTTCTTTGTGTAGCGTCTCTTTAGTTGCACTACTGGCCGGATTCAAATATTCCATTATCATCGATTTCTCGTCATCAGACTCAATAGAATTCCCTTCCAATATCGATAATACGGTCGGTAATTCGCTGCCATTAAATTGGGTTCTTAGACTCGTGTAACGTGGATCATAGACTCGCATCCAACTCTTCATTTCTAAATGAAATATCCATACATCACCACTCGTAGTTTTTAGCATAGGTATTCCATTGGGACGAAGTGTCGCGGAAACAATGGTTTGTTGACTAAACTTTGTATTTGTCAGTGTAGCAGCTTGCAGGATTGGTGCTATTGAGACAGATGATATTATTGCTGTTCGACGTATCAAATCCCTATAAAAATACATATTCTTTTATATAGAAATATCATTTCAAAAATAATGTGCACATTAATTATTACTTGTAAGAAATCAAAAAGCTTACCAAACATTTAATAAGCCTGCTTGACTCAGACATAGGAGATAATTATCCAGCCCTGATAAAAATGATGCCGGAGTTTCTAATATTATTGGAGGTAATAGTCTGAAAAAGACACATCATCGTTATTTGATAAACTATGAAATAATAGCAGACAGATAAGAAATCTCTACAACATACCGTTTACCCGCTGCTGAATACGCATAGAGGCTACCATCATCACACGCTGCCGCACTAAATCGAGCATAGCCAACCAAAAGTAATACTTTACTCGGTATAAAATCTACCCACAAAATATTATCGGCCTCACTACATATCAGTTTTGATGGCTCTATAATGCAATAATATGGTTAATATTTAGTTAAGTTGTCGAATTACAAGGATGATGATGGACTATTTCTTACTTTTATCTACATAATTTTGACATTCCAACCTTCTATTTGAGAATCCCACTATATCCTTTCTCAGACTATTCAAGACTTTAGGTTGTGCTAATCTCACTTGTGACATTGTAATCATTGGAGATATATATGCAGAATAAGCGGAATTTATAACACGTGAATCTAATTGAGTGTCCATGGAAGTAGTAGCGGTATTATCAATCTTTGATTTTCCAGTAGCAATAGAATGATGTTTTTTAGAGGGAGTTCCATCAGTTTCAGGTGTTGTTGATGATGCGAGTGATGATGATTGCGGCAGAGATGAGGATTCTTTTCTTTTATTTCCAACTATTAAGGCCGGTATGCCGCCTGACGGTAAAATTGACGAGGGAGATTCAAATTGAATAGAATGTCCATTAATAACAGAATGATTTTGTGAGGAAAATGATCCATTTGAAGTTGTTGATGAAGTAGTATAGAGTTTATTTTCCGTGGATATTTGTGAAGAAGATGCAAATGCTGGGGGAACTGGTGTTGGAGGCTGTGATGATAAACTGAATATTATATATAAAATATTAGAACAAAAAAATTGAGGGCAATAAAAAATAAAAAAAAAGTAACTAATTACCTTCTCACAAAGAAAGGCTGTATCCTTTTTTTACCCTCTTTAGTGACTGTCACGTTTTGATGTGTTGGAGTACTTGGAGGAACTGATGACTTTGTCACTACATTATTGTTATTATTAATGGCCAATGATGATGAGAATGCTTGCTCTAATCCATCAATCCCATTATTATTATGAATATGGCTACTACTTGTTGTACTGCTAGATGATATAGCAGAAGTAGATTTTATTTCTAGAGTAGGTGGCTGTATAAGAACCGAAACATGATTCGCAGGAGGTGGTGGGGTCTCCGATGAATCGTTGATTACGATCACTTCGGGTTCATTTAATGATAACGTAGAACCACTATTGTAACTATTTGTTGAAACAAAAGATGAAGTTGATTCACCCTGCATAATATCGTGAATTCGTTTAGACTTTATATTTTTATTTATGATTGCTCGTTCTTCTTCTAACGCTATCTGTGTTGTGTTCTCTAGTGAAATTGGCTCTTTACGTTTATACCCATATTTTGCCATGATTTTTTCCTGATTTAGTTGTTTAATGATAATTTGAATATTATAACATTTGATAATAATTTAATATACTAATAAAGATGATTATTGCTTGATAATTTAAATAAATTCATTGCTTGCCTTGTCTTCGATTTTACTACGAATTCCAAATTCGCTGTCTTGGAATCTAAGTATTGCCACGCTACCATCATATGAACATGCGAATAAATCTTTTCCATTAGGCGCCCTTTCATATAAGAATAATTAGAAAAATGAAAAAAGAAACGAATGTCAATTAAACCTACTTTTCTTACCAAGAGAGATCCATTACGCTCTGTCTAAACATCCTTTGACTTACAGTTATTGGTCGTGATCTCCTTGTTGCCCAAATAGAAATGCTATAGTCTTGACTTCCAACTGCGATAATACTCCCCAGGCTTCCAGCGTTTCGATCCGCGGCATCCAAATCCGGGATTACAAAGAGTACTGGATTAAATTGCTATATTTTATTATTAGAATGTATTCTCTATATTTTATATAGGCAATCATTTCTGATTTCATAAGTTCAATAAAAAAAGAAACAACTCACCACAACACCGATTGGTGCATTATGTCCGACTAAAGAAATGTCAGCTTTCCATTCATCTCTGACCAAAATAGGCGCAATAGCGATTGCATCTAGAGAACCATTTGCTGCAGAAAGATGGGTTCCATCGGGAGACCAGCTATATATAATAAACTTTTTATCAATGATCCAAAATATCATTATTTTTGTGTGCGAATTCAAATTAGTACAAACCATAATCGTCGAAAAAAGGTTGTGGTAGGCGATGAAGTGAACGGTGCTTTCACCACATGTTCGGCTCCCCAGTCTGAAGTTCTCCAAATTCTCATAGTTTTATCGTCAGACTATTTAATCAAAAGTATATGAGATAACACTATAACAATAATAAATTTATTGAACGATAATTCACCTCTGTAGCAAGGTATTTTCCAATAGGATCCCATGCTACTCCTTTAACAAATCCCTTATGCTCATCTATTTTCCTTAGTTTTTCTTTTTATATAAAGAAGATAGAGACTGAAAAGTTAAAATAAAATTAAATGAAAAAAATTCTCAATATTCCCAACGCACCAAATGTTTGGCCATCCCATATGAACACAAGATTGTCTAATCCACAGGAAGCCAAATAGGTATTATCACTAGACCAAGCAATATCCACAACATCTATTATTATATAGTAAATTAATAATGGTCGACTACTTAATAATATTGGAGAAACTAAAGCGTCAAATTCTATAAATACCAGATTCGTGACCAGTCAATCTTTTGGATATTTTCCAATTCTCCACATTTTGTTCATCACTACCAAATACTTTTCCACCATAACCACTACACAAAAGATAATTTATAATATGTCATGAAGTCAATGATCGATCTATAAGCGTAAATAAAATAACAAACCTGTCTAATTCCCATATCAAAACTATTTTATCATCTGATCCTGATGCTAAATGTCTTCCCTCTATTTGAGACCATCGAACACATAAAACTGGGCCTAAATATGTTTGAAGACGATTATGATATACGTAAGTGATAATCCTCAGAATGGTTGAATACTTCAACGTACCTGTATGCAATCCCATTGTGCATAGCAACCCTGTGACACTCCCATTATTTTCTTTTGATTCATCATAGAGAGCCGCCGTGCTCCATATTTTAATTTTTCCATCTAACAAGTTTATTTATCCAATTGTTTCATTAAATTAGTGACTGACGCTCAAGGAAACAAAAGTTTAACTCATGAAGGTAACGAGAATTTTTAATCAAAAATTGTTAGATTCTTAAGGGTCGATAGAGTATAAGATATGAACGGTACTTTGTG